AAGTTTATACTTTAGGATTAGAAAGACCAACAGGGTCAAACCCGACCCAGTGGTCCTATATGAGTGCCTGGACCGGCTGCAGGAACACCTTGTCTCCTTAGGTTCTGGTCCTGGAACCAACGGATCAGGCTATAAAGGTCCAGAGCAGTTCTGTTTTTTCTGGTCCATCTGGTACCAGGAGTTAGAAACAGATCCTCTAGATTCTAAAGGCCCACATGGACCAGCCCTGACTCCATTCCTGACCCAGTTCTCAGCTGGATCAGCCTTCGCTCTGCCAGCTGATGTGGGTGTGGGAGGTGACCTCTGACCTTTGCTGTGTTTGTTCCCTGTGATGGAGGAACTGCTACCTGCTCTACAGGATGTAGCTCTGCTGATTAGGAGACGTCTGCGTGCGGAGCTTCCTCTTCCTCCCCCTGTTTGCTCTCAGGCTGCCTGGATGAACTCCAGTTACCTCCTGTCAGGCTACTGGAGTTCACTGAACTCTGTTTTCTTGGAGCCCTTAGTCTGCCCCCTAGTGGTAGTATGAAATAGAAGCTGTAGAATTATTAGGAAACAAGCAGTGATGTAACCTGATGCTAAGAAGGATGGGATTATTTCACAGCAGAACCTTTCCTGTCTGACCCATAAGCTTTTATCTATCTGCTCAGATTGATGGCAGAACCTGGAACGCTTTGCTGTAAAGAAATTGAAAATCAATAAAGGTTTTCAGCGTAACTTTGCTTTGTTTTCAAAGTAATTTTTTATACTAAAATATTTTCATATTTCAAACTTCTCTTTTTCAGATGGAGTTTTAAAAACCCCAATCCTTTTAGTTTTACAGATCTGAGATGTTGCTGACACCCATGCAGATTAGTAAAACTCCTGAAAAAAAGAAAATATGAAAAAAATGGGAAAGATCTGAGGAAACAGAAATTCCACAACCTCTTTTTGATTAAGTTTTTCAAATTTCTGTTAATTAATTATGTTGCCTGCCTCAGTAGTGGTACAAAAAAATCCCTTCATCCATGTTTGCTGTGTGCAGCAGCAGACGGTGCAGCATGAAGGTGAAAATCATCAATTTGAGATCACAGTCTCTCCACTGTGGACAGAATAAACCAGAACCACCTTCTAGTTTAGAGACATTCCTAAAGGGTCTTCATGGCCGCCATATTGAGATGCTGCTGCAGAAAGCAGCTGAGATAAACAGACGTTATTCTAAACACTACCGGGGAAAAACAAACCACCAGCATCCGTAAAAATGTGGAGATAAAAATGAGTTGAGATATGTAGCCTGTAGTGTGCGGTGTCTTCCTGCAGGGGGCAGCTGTCTTCACAGGTTCGGTAGGGAAGCTGTTCCTGAGTCGCTTTGTTCTGGATATATTGCTTCTGTCCTCCTCTGGACATCCATGCTGTCTAAGTTAAAGGTATCGTGGATGTGGGGATATTCGCCATCCCTGCGCAGCAGCACTTGCTTTTACAGTGAAAAACTTTATGGACTAGCTTAGCATGAGAGAAACACTGGACAACATCTTCTCCGTTGGCTGGCACTCCTTTACTCCTCCAGAGTCGGCCGTTTGTTAGACACACAGAAAAGAAGATGGCGGGTGCGTGCGTGGGCACTGACATCATCACGCCACGCAGAAAACACGTCTTTGCCTAAACAATAAAAATATGCTTAATATGGAAAAAAAATCTTTCAGGTTTGAGTTCTGGTATGAACATCTTTTCCTTTGTCATTACTTACCTACTTTTTCAACAATTATTCTGCATAAAAATGACATTTACAAGCACTAATAGCTACGTAAATTGATTATTAAGTTTTTATTAAAATATTTATCTATAATTTTACTGAAGACCCCAAGATGACTTGCAGAGACGCATCATTTTCTCTTTACCCCATAAAACAAAATCTAATTCTGAATAGAGCATGAACTCTGTACTTCTTTAATGTTAGTATATTGATGTGAATAATTAACCTGTGTTTTTGTTGTCAAGTTATTGTAATTAAAAATTAAAATGTTTTAAATATTCCACTTGAGAGTATTACTGCTGCCACCGTATTTATGAGGGAAATAAATGGTGGGGGTGGCCCCAGGAGTCACCAATGATTGGCTAAGGAAGGCCATGGCCACCTATGGCCCCCCCATCTAGCTCCGCCCCTGAATGCAGAAATTTCACCACAGCTTCTTTGGGTCCAGAAGAGCCAGAACCACCACATCCTCTGAGGTTTGGTGGAAATGATGTCAGAAAATGAGGATCAGAAGGAGCTTCTCACACATATTTACAATCTGACCTGTTTGTTTTTAAAACTGAAATTCAATTCTATTCAGTTTATTTCTATAGCTCCAATTCACATCATGTCATCTCAGGTCACTTTCCAGTTCACC